TGTGGGGGTGCAGGGCGGTTCCGAGGGCTGTTGGGCGGCGGAGACAGCCCCTCCCCCGGCGCGGGGAGCCTTCCCGCTGCGCCAGCGGAGCCTTCCCGGGGGCGGGGGAATAAATCATTAATTGTTCCCTGGGAATGTGGTTTTAAAGACAGAGGCAGAAGAATAAGAGGTGCTTAAAAAAGTGACCTCTTAAAAAGCTGGAGGCCATCTGTTGAGGAAAAAGGCTGAGGGAGGTTGTGAAGACGGGACTAATGGACTGTTCTGAGTGTAAATTAACAATACAGTGGAGAGCAAAGCGGGCTGGATCTGGGAATACATCCGTACGATTCCCCCGGAAATATAAACGGAGGTTAATCCAATCAGTGCCGGTTTTTAAAAGGACAGTTTAGACAAAGATGTGTCTGTGGTCATCTAGACTCTCCGGAGTCTTTGTGAGAGAGGAAGAAACCCTGGAGAAATCTTCCAACAGTGTGCTTCTAAACCCAGGCTGGACTCTCCTGTGAAGTGTTTGAATAGCAGCTTCCCGTAGCAATTGAGGAATAATAATAGTTGTTGCTGTATAAGCACATAGTGAATGAGTTGGTGTGTCTTCATTCACGGCATCTGCCCGAGGAGCTGGAGCTCCCAGTTCAGCTGCTCGAGAGAGTGCTCATTTTCACCCTCTTTCTGTTTTGTCTGACCTATAACCAGTCTTCGGTCTGTTAGTGTTGATATCCGCAGAGCACCAAAATGATTCTGTGGGGGGCACTGTGCATGAAGAACCTTTACATATGTTATCATCTGTGTAAGCTCCACACGTTCCTTGTTCATGCGCAGTGTCTTCGTTTTTATTCAATGAACTTGAGTGTCTGATCTTATCTTTGAAGTCATCTGACTGAAAAATATTTGACTTGTATTTAGATTCAGCTAAGGTCCTAAAAATTAACCCATGATTATTAGTCCAACTATACTTCTCTCAAAATGACTTTAGAGGACTTATTTGGTTAATATTTGAAAAAAAATATGTAATTTCTTCTACTTACCTTTACTCAAATCTTGTCCTTTCTACTATGTGTTAAATCTATGTGTTCTTGCTTACTTTCCATTATAGTTTCGTTAAGAGGTATATGTCCTTTTAGTAAGTCAACATATTTGATTGAAGTTGCTTAAATTTACATGTCAGAGGGGAAAATTTAATATTTAAAGATTTAGCAATTGTTTATCACTTCATGTTGTTGAAATATGTTACTTCTGTATGCTGCTTCTCATTTGATTTGATTACTTTGTCTTTGATGTTACATAAGTGTCCTAAGTGTATATTAAACATTTCTTTTTCTCCAATAGGCAGGACAAAGAATCTTTGTTTCTGTAACATGGACGCCATTAGAAGAAGGAAAAGTCAGAGAACTGGTAACTTTTGTTATTAATGGCATTGTAAAGCATCAAGCTGTGCTCCTTGGTGCTGCTGAGCAGCCTCTGAAGAAAAAGGTGAGTGTGTGTTTATTATGTGTCTTAATTCTGTTACTTTGCCATAGCTGACACAGATGTTGTTTTTATAGTAGAAAATTCAGTGAGGAAGAATTGAAAATTGATAAATTATGCCATCTGTGGGAATACCCATTGTCTTCAATTTTTCTCAGCTGGGTTGGAAAGTAGGTACTGGTGCATTACAGCTTGGAGAATAAAACTGAAACATGACCAAAAAAGCTGTTTTCAAGCCTGGAAATAACTTGTGGTGAATTTTGGGCTAGGTGTTCTTTTTATAGTATTTTTAGACTTTGAATGAATAAACCAGTAATGTTCACTTTTACACATAAAAGTATTTAGAAAGTCAGCATACTAACTTTTATTTATGATTCTTTTTCAGAAGAGTCTTTGGGATACCATAAAAAAGAAACCCTCTTCAGAAACATCTGCTTCAATAAAGGTTAAAAAAAATACTTCAAAAGTTAAAAATGTTAATAAAACCTTTGAAGTTTCCCAGGAGGTGGAGAGACTTAGAAACCCACTTCAGCCATGTGAAAATCAGAACACGATGCAAAATAGTATACCTTCAGGAAATGACTCTTTGATTGGCTCAGAAAATAAATTGCCTATATCTCCTATTGCACCAGTACTAGAGCAACATCACGATACTGTTCACACACCACTTGCAATGAGAAGATCTACTACATTCTCGGATATTGCTGCTGCTGCAAATGAGGTGTTATTGCCTGAAATCAAGAGCTGTAACATCGAGAAATTTATTAATGAGCACAATGAATTAATATCGGAAAGTGCATACAGTTCTACTGGCTTACCACAACTGCAAATTGCAAACAATGAAGGAATTCTTAATTGCACACTCTCACCTGATTACACTCTTGAACACTTGGCACCTGTGCCTGTTTTAAGTACAAGAAGAATTTTAAGTCCAGATTCTTTTGTAAATGGCACTTATCAAGTGGATCTAGATATAACAGCGCAGCCTGTTCCGATTCTGTCACCTGATCAATTTGTGAAAGACAGCTTGTCAGATAAGCAATCAAAGACTCCTAAACTTGAGGCACCTTTAATATCATCTGCTACAGAGACTTATGTTGTAAAGAGATGCCTACCCTCTAAATGGAAAAAAAGCAGAGCTGTAGAGACAAAAACACGTGTTTGTATAGAACACAACTTAAATGAAGCCTTTGTGATGCAGAATGTAGAATCACAGGTACTTCGTTATGATAAACCCAAAGAAAATCCCTTCAGTTTGCCTTCTACAGAGCAACTTCAGACTCACAATTCTCAGAGAGAACAACCAAAAAAGCGTCTAGTTCTTTCTGCCACTGTCATAAAAAATAAGCCTGATGCTACTGAAGAAAGAAGAATGGAAACGCTCCAGCGAAAATCTAGAAAATGCCTTAGTAAAGCAATAATGGAATGTGCCAATGGGGGGCCTGTACGTACAAAAGCAGAAATATCTAAACGCCTTCCAGTTATAGGTCCCGTTTCAGCTGAGAATAAGTGTCACCATGACAAAGTGAATGCATCACCTCCTGGATCAACTTCTCTGTGTCGTAAGAGGAAAAGTGAAATGTACGTAGAAAATAGCAGAGCTACACCTGCAGCGCATGTGGAAGAAGTGGAAAGAAAAAGAACTCTTACATCTAGCATGGAGAGTAAAACGTATCCTCCTATGAGGCCATCAGCCTTCAAACCCACAAACCGAGAGAGAGTAGGGCAGAGAAAGAAAGCTGGTGAGCAGTATTTCCTTCATTTACCACTTTCTGAAAGATGCCTTTGATTATGAAATTTGTAGCAAACTGAACTGTCTAGCAGCAGTCAGGAATATTTCACATCTGAAATGTGGGCCTTTGCAATTTCTTAGATGTTATCTGCATTCAAAAAATTGGAATACTAAATCAGAGATTGATTATGTAATTGGCTTCAAATTTAGTTTATTCTTTTGTAAATCTTGTTAATGACAGTAACAGGAAGAGTATTTGAGCGTTCTTGAGCAGAGCCCTTGTTATGTAATTCAGATTTACTAGAAACTTCCTGCATGAGATTTGTCATACGTACATGCACCACTGTGAATATTTGACTCCATTGCTGTCGTCAGCCTTGCCTAGATCTTTCTGCCTTTATAGTACCAGTGCTTTGTTGCTTGAAGATCAGAAGTAGTTGACTTCATATATTTCAGTGTATTTTCAGTTTTCTGAATCTTCCATTCCCAAATATGCCCTGGAATATGAAAAGCCTGAGGGTCTGTGTGTCAGCCGACACAGGCAAGGCACAGGAACAACCACAAACCATGGATAAAATGCAAAGAGTAAATTTATTTGTGTTACCTCGCAAGCGGAGGGATCTCCGCAGCAGCACTTGGCAGGGTACACACGTGCATGGGGGCAGGCACCGGTGGAGCTCGGTCCTCGCTAGAGAGCAGAAAGCAAGATATCTTGAGCCTGCTGCTTTTGAGTTTCAAGGATTCCTTGCAGGCGTGGTTTTCCACTGTGCTTTGATCTTTCCCGCTGCAGGGCCAGCACAGGCCTGTTACCTGAGCACAAGGTTCTGCTTGTCAAACGCACAAGGCTGAACAACCATTAGCATGATAGATGTGGGGTTTTTTTTGACACCCCAGCTGCAGGTCACCTGAGCGTTATTTACAAATCCTCCTCCCCGGTCTTCTGTTGGTTTCCCACAGTCTGTAACTGAAAGGGGCATTTAATGGGCAGAATCTTCATGCAGTCCCTGCAATTTAACTAGCAGGAAAAATTCATCGTGGCTTTCAGATGCCGTTCTCTTCAGTTCAAATGATCCGTTCTGTGATCTAGGTTTGATTTAGGTCTTTCAGTTAATGCACTTTGATTTGATGCTTTTTAAGATAGTCTACATAAAAACATCATGCACCAACAGCATTAGTGTGCAGCAGGAAAAGCTGTGTTACCTAGCAGGTTATTTCTATTCATCCACTAGGGTAAGGATAGATGGCCTGGACAAGGAAGTATTCTGTGAGCCCAGAATGACTTTGTCTCTTAATCCTAGTTCTGAAACACAAAAATGATGACAGCGTTGACAATTTTTCTTGAGAAGCGTTATCTCTAGGCTTTACAAAGAAAAATCATATTTCACTACTAAAAGTTAACTTTGAAATGCCCATCGTTAATTTAATCCATTTGAGATCAAACTTTATTAAAAACTATCAGAATGTATGTAAAATTTATTAGAAGCGCATGAGAGATTGGAATGGCTTCTTCACTTCTCTAGAAGGGAATGTTCTATGCAAAACACTACTTCAGCTAAGCAGGGGAGTGCAGCCTGTGATTTATGATCTCTATCTTTTTGGTTTCTGAAGTGCCATCTTGTCAGGGAGTGTCGGACAGCAACTGCAGTCCATCTGCAACAGCAATCTTTCAGTTGGTGTCAATGTAACAAAATGATTGTGCTGAAAGTGTGTATTTTCACGTGTTGAGAGTTCAGAAAGCCTAGATCCTGCATTTTTTCCTTGTGTTTAAGCCCTCCTACTGTTGTGTGGTGGATAATACTTCTTAGCTAGTGCCTTGATGCCTAAGCTAACACGAGTGAGGCTGCTCTGAAACGAGTATCAATGGAGTAGGCAATCTAGGAGGAGGTGAGTCGAGCCCTAAAAAGCTGTACCTCTTGCCCCAGATGTTTACAAAATACACACTTTCATGTGTTTTAATGAATGTTTTTACCAATTACCTTAGTGTTTCTAGCCGTATGATAATGAATTGCAAACAATATGTTTCCTTAGTGTATGGAAGAGCTGTGAAATACAGTAGCACTTATTTACTCTAAACTATTTTTCCCTTTTAATTGTAGTCCAAGTAGTTTGCTTAACTTTTTCCATCAGCAGGAGATTATTGATATCTTGTATGGGTTCATGGGGAGTTACTCTAGTTCCATGTTCAGTGATACGAACCTTAATACATTAACCTTCACTGACGTATTTGTTGTTGATACTTGTGTGTTAATGCTTGTAGGTTTTTCACTTCAGAAAGCATCTAAAACTACCAACAGAATTAGTAAACCTGTCCCTGGATTGGCCCAGTCTCACCTGACGTTTGTGAAACCACTGAAAACAGGTAGGCAGACTTCTGGTATTTAGTAAAATAGTATACACTGAAGTGTCACAATAGTTAGGGACTGGTAAGATCTAACTAGCTAGAGTTGAGATGAAATAGAAGATTGTACAATGAATCAATCTCTATCAGGAAAATATACATAGCCTTTTCTGACCACTCATAAGAAAATTGGTTGCAACATATGGGCAGCTGAAGGTAGACATTACTGTCCCCCAGAAATAGAATACCTAAGAAGAGAAAACTTCTTACCAAAAAGATACTAATTTTGTAGAGCTAATACTAAGTAGATCTAATCAGAAAAATGCATCTATAAAATGGTTATTCCTGGATGTGCTCCAACTCAACCTGGTTTTGCCACAAGATGTGCATTGCAAGTGGCCTGAGTTCTAGAAATCTTGTTTTTATTCTAGTGCTTTAATAACTTAATCCCTGTTTTGTGGATGAAAATTATATAATGATGGCTGATCTGCAAGTCACTGAAGGTTGTAATAATCTGCTTTTTTCTGCTGAATTGCTAAATGGAGTGTCAAATGTTAATCCTTTCCACCATGAAATGCATATTGCTTATCAACCATTTCAAGAAATGCAGAGACTTTTTGTTTTTTAAGTCATCCCTAGGCACCCAATGCCTTTTGCTGCTAACAACATGTTTTATGATGAACGTTGGATGGAGAAGCAGCAACGAGGTTTCACCTGGTGGTTAAATTTTGTACTTACCCCTGATGACTTCAGTGTAAAAACAAACACATCACAAAGTAAGTGTACAAGAAGTTTCAGTGTGTTTCTAATGTTCTTAAACATTCTATAATGTACTTTACTAATATTAATGAATAGTAGAACTAGCTTAACACTAGTCCCAATTTGTCACTTGAGTTTGTGTAACATTAAGCTCTTGGGTAAGAGTAGATTTTAGGTTTTCAATTTCTATGTATCACCCGTGTTTCCCTTTTCAGCCTTTGACTTAATACTGTGTGATAATCATAAAACAAATATTTGCTAACGTGTTTCACTGGAGGTGATGCTAGAAAATATGTAAAAGCAGTTCTTACATTGGAGCATCCAATGTCCATCCCAGCAGAATTGTATAACCATCTAACCCTTTTTAGAGTCATACTTTCCCCTTTTGATAAATGTGAATGGCACATGTGCTGACGCCAAGCACAGCGTACCACACACCTGAAAGGGGAGCGTGCTCTGCAACAAGAAATACACAATCAACGTGTTTCTGGGGCACTCCTTAGTGGGTATTGAGTGGGGAAATCCCACCTGCTGAAAAATGTTCTAGCTGTCACTTAAGTAAAATGATGGTAATGTACCTTTTCATCTATCTTTAGATTCAATCTAAAAAAATGAAGATGGTACAACTGATCTTAAAACTGAATTCCTAGTGCTGCTCACCTATGAAATAAGAATTATTTTCTTAAATATTTGACTAATATGCATGTACTTGACAATAAATGTTTAGTGCAACAGCTGATAAGCTTCCCGAGGGATAAAATTATGTCAGAAGCAAAATAACAAAATGTGAATTTAGAGAGGAAAAAAATAAATGGGGTGGGCAAGGCTACCTTTATTTGAGATTTAAGTGCATACATTTTATGTGTGTTTCAACAGTAAATGCAGCTGCCCTTATCTTGGGAGAAGAGAACCATCATAAAACCAGTGTTCCTAAAGCACCAACGAAAGATGAAGCATCTCTAAAAGCTTATACGGCTCATCGTAAGCTGAATAAATTACGACGTGATGCTTGCCGTTTATTTACATCTGAAACAATGGTTAAAGCTATTAAGAAGCTGGAAGTTGAGATTGAAACTAGACGTTTGCTAGTTCGCAGAGACAGACACCTCTGGAAAGATGTAGGTAAGAATACTAAAACTTTGCATCCTCTCTTTTCTTGTAAGTAGAAAAAGGATTATTCACACACTAAGTTGATTTAATCTAAAATTGGTTCATAGAAGTTTTTGCTATAATATGAAGTGTTTGCTGGATGTCATATTACAAGATGCTCTCTTTCAGGAGAAAGGCAGAAAGTCCTAAACTGGCTTTTATCTTACAACCCATTGTGGCTGCGGATAGGCCTGGAGGTAAGTGCAGAATTTATGGTCTATAATCAAAGTTTAAAGGACATCTAGCAATTGTATTTTTAGTAGGAGTTGTTTCAGGTTTCTTTGCATTTTCTGTTTGACTCATTCAGGTAGGTTCAATTCAGTTACAGCATGTTTACAACTCTCTTAAATTGTTACAGTAGACTTGCTTTAAAAAAGTGCTTACCTTATCAAGAAGGAAAATATTTAATCAAGGAAAGAGCAAGTTAATTCCCTGACCAATAACACAAAAGCAGTTTCCTATCAATTTCACTCTTTACTAAACTGGAGAAGAATTGCCTTAAGGAAGTTCCTGATTGATTCCTCAGATACAGATGATCATCCATGTTTTGAAATGGGACTGGATTTTCTGAAATTTCCTTTGGTTTTATCCTTCAGTGACTGATTTGAAAAAATTATTGATTTTTAGAGGCTAATTTCAATTACAACTACAGAATTTCAGTAATATATGCTATTCAAAAAAAACTCATAGTATTTAAGGTAATTTTTAACAATTGTGCTCCTTTCATATTAGGCTGTTTATGGAGAACTGATAGCTTTGGAGAGTAATAGCGATGTTGTGGGTTTAGCAATATTTATTCTTAATCGCTTGCTTTGGAACCCTGACATTGCAGCTGAATACAGACATCCCACTGTGCCTCACCTCTACCGAGAAGGTAACTACTACTTCCAAAACCAGGTTATCTTTAGCACTTAATTTTTTGAACTGTGACTTAATGGGTTCTATCTCTTTAGGTCATGAAGAAGCTTTGTCAAAATTCACACTGAAAAAATTACTGTTGTTAGTTTGCTTTCTGGACAGTGCCAAACGGTCTAGAATGATTGAACATGACCCTTGCCTCTTTTGTAAGGATGCAGAATTCAAGGTAAGAGAGCTGTGATGTGATGTCTCACGCCAATATTGTCATAAGACTCGATTGTTTTTGTTGTTTTGGTTTTGGTTTTTGTTTATTTTTTTTTTTTTTAATCTGACTACGTAGTTTTCATTAACAAGTCTTTGGCTGTTCAGCCTTTTGCATGAACATTCTCAACATATCATCTCACAGTCATTTAAAGGAATTGCCAAGAAAATTTAGAGGTGTTGGTCCTTTAGGAAGGACTCCATTATCTTGTGTTATCTGGCTTCTCTTTCTGAAGCTAAGCTTCTGCATTATTTTTAAATATCACTCTAGCATACTGCAGCTGATCTTAAACTGCAAGTCAGTTGAAGGGCTCAGCTCTTTTTTTTCCTGTTGTTTTGCTGTGATAAGAAAACTATGCAACATCTGTCATACAAAGGCTTTGGTTAACAAGTATGTGCTGTTCAAATAATATCACTTTTCTCAGGTTTGTATTATGTACACAGACTGAGAAAAAAAAAAATCCTGAATTTGGTGGTGTGTTCAGTGACATGGTAGCCAGGTATGATGAAAATTAAAGTTGTGTGAGCTGGCTAAAAATAAATTTTTAAAAAATTAATTATTAGGCAAGAAATGTGGAATGGAATTTGAGGTACAAGGGATGAAAATTGTATTCTGCTTGACAAACATTGCAGTGTTTAAGATTACCTTTTTTGTTCTTTTTTTTCTTTTTTTTTTTTTCAGTCTAGCAAAGACCTTCTGCTTGCATTTTCTCGGGACTTCCTGAGTGGTGAAGGTGACCTTTCCCGCCATCTGGGTTTCTTAGGACTACCTGTCAGTCATATTCAAACTCCACTCGATGAATTTGATTTTGCCGTAACAAATCTGGCTGTGGACCTACAATGTGGCATTCGTCTTGTGTATGTTGATACAGAATTATTTTGAACTATTTATTTTCTTTATATAATACTTCATATGAGCTCAGCTAAGGCATTAAACGGTGAAATTCCCTTTGTTAGGAGAACAATGGAACTTCTCACTAAGAACTGGAATCTTTCAAAACAACTGAGAGTTCCGGCAATAAGTCGTCTACAGAAGATGCATAATGTTGACATTGTTCTTAATGTCCTTAAAGAGCGAGGAATTCACTTGAAAGATGAAAGTGGTAAGGCCTAGAAATCAGGGTTATTCTAAGTGCGTTGGAGGACTAGTGCTTTAATTCCTTGGTTTACTTGATAGGTGCTTCAATTGACTCCAGGGATATTGTGGATAGACACAGAGAACGAACATTAGCACTCCTGTGGAAAATTGTCTTTGCCTTCCAGGTACTATTCGATTACTTATTTTGTGTTTGTTACTAGTTAGGAATGAGGAATAGTGAAAACACCAGTCTGTCAGGAATGTTTGTTGTATGTGAAAGCTTCTAATAATCAACATTCAGACTGTGAAATGATTTGCTTTGTACATTCAAAGTGCCATGCAAACTCTACCTAAATCTGCCAACTATTCCCCAACAATACAGTTTAGATAACATCATACAAAGAAAGGTAAAATAAGATAGAAGTTGAGGTGGAATTCCATCACTAAATAGCCAGAAATATAAGTACAATTATCTAAAAAAAAAAATTTCAAGCACTGTAGCCACAGAACTATCAGAGAGCCAGAAAAATACAACAAAAATCAAATGTAACTGTTTTCTTTCTTAGCTACTGTTACAGTACTGAGTAGTTACCTTTCTCCGGTTAGTTCTCCTGATGCATGTGTCTCAGTTACATTGCTTTTGATTAAAGAATAATTTCAGTGAGTAGTGGCTTTATCCAAGTACTGTGAATATAGTAGTTGTTCTCCCAACCTTCTCACACTATCACAACACCAGCTCAAGTCCTCTCTGAATCCCTGAAATGAGGAGAGTTGGTACATGGACTCAGTAGAAATGCAGGCAAGAGTCTGAAAATGTTTCCTCTGAAAGTACGGTGAAATTATACAGGCTGTTTCAGCGAATTTCCCTGTTTCCCCCAACTATTAACTAGCAAAATAACTGTTTTAACAGAACAGTGGGAGTGTGAGTTTAGGTTTTTTTATCTGAAGCAGTTCATAGTGGAAACTGCCATTATGCTGGCAAGTCCAGATTATCCACTACTGATTCAGTGTGGCAGGTGATGCTAAGCAGTGAGAGCAGTTTCTCTTTAAAATGCCATATCTAAAGCCTCTGCATTTAGCTGCTGTAACGCATGATGTCAGACTGTTGGTGACAAAAACAGAATTTTTTTTTCTTCCTAATAGGTGGAAGTTTTTTTTAATGTGGAACAGTTAAAAGAAGAAATTGAGTTTTTAAAGAATACACACAAAAGAAAAACACAATTGGGGTCTCTCAAGACTTTTCCAAATTGTTGTAGAGTACAAGAAGATAATAGTAGTAACTCCTCACCTCAGTGTTACAGTGAAAATGTGAAGCTGCTGATGGCATGGGTTAATGCTGTTTGTGGATTTTACAATATCAAGGTAAATAGTTTGGTGTACATTTCGGCAAATACATCCTTTGCTGTTATCAGAATGCTTATTCTTTATAGAGCAGAATTCTTCAAACTATCAAATATCTAGTAGTAGCCAATGGTAATTAGTTTTAAATAACCTTCTGGACTTTGTTTAATCTGATTTGAAATTACTGTCTTTCTGTGGGTTTAGTTGCAGCTCTCTTTTTAAACAAATTTGAGTAAAATGCCTTTTAAAAATTGAACATTTTTTGTTGGCTATGGGGTTACTGGAGTTTTTAAATGAGCATTCAACCTAGGAGTATTTATGCATAAAATTTTTATCGTTTATGGAAACTGTGAGAATTAAAGTAATGTTAGGGCTAAGGGGGATTCCTTTCCACACAGAGATGTTTGCTTAGAAGGGATATGTTTTTTGTTCCTTCCAAGAAGAGCAGCTTTGTTCAGAGACTCTTTTCTGGTCAGAATACAGTCACACCTGCTATTTTTTATGAAGGGCACGATAGAGCACTTAAGACTGATGCAAGTTCAGAGCTTATTTCTGCACTGAATACCTAGCATAAAGATATCTATAGAAGTTTCTTGGGGATCCTTCTGTCAAAAGATCTCTTTCTTTTTGGTTTCTTAAATGTTTCCCTTGGAGATTTACTGCATGGTGTTTTCAAACATCTTTGTTTCTGTTTTTGCCCAGCTGTATGCCACTGTGTGGTGAATGTTCAAAGGAAGGACTAGTTTCATAATTTTTTTGTTCAAAAAAATTTGCAGTTGGTCACTTTCAAAAGGTGCAAGATGATAAATTATCTATCTAGTTTATACCAATTAACTGGTAACAAAAACTGGTAACTTACTTTATTTTATTTTAACAGGTGGAAAATTTCACAGTGTGTTTCTCCGATGGTAGAGTATTATGTCATTTGATTCATCATTATCACCCATGTTATGTGCCTTTGGAAGCTGTGTGCCAACGTACAACCCAAACAGTAGAATGCTCAAGAACTCATACGGTGGGGCTAAACTCTTCTTCCTCATCCTCTGCAGAGTCTGACACTTCTCTAAATATTATGGAAGGACAGTGTGACCAAAGTGAGTTATGTGATGCAGAGAAATTAATGCTAAATCCATTTCTTTTGTGTCCAGTTTGATCTGACAAAATTTTCTTTTTGCAAAGCTGTAACTGCCTCAGACCTATACAAGGAACTCTTGGACAATGAAAGGAAAAACTTCCAGCTCATTAGTGCTGCAGTTTCTGACCTAGGTGGAATACCAGCAATGATTCATCACTCAGACATGTCAAATACAATTCCTGATGAGAAGGTATATATGCCTTTAGAGATGATGATCTAAACATCTTGTGCTCCCCTGTGAATGTGTCCTGCTCTTCTGTGTAGCCCTTAACTTGCTGTGTTCTGTGTTTATACAGGTTGTTATTACCTACCTGTCATTCCTGTGTTCACGGCTTCTAGATCTACGTCAAGAAACTCGAGCTGCTCGATTAATTCAGTCTGCTTGGAGGAATTACAGGCTGAAAAGGGAACTGAAACTTTCTCAGGTACTCTTTGCCTGTGCAATATTCATAGTTTCTACTTTGAGAAACACTAAAGAATATAATTGTAGTGTTCAGAGTATACACGTTTATGAGAATAATATTGGCATTTAAATTAATGAGTACCATTTTTATTATCAAAATATGTGTCTTTCTTGGTGTAATCTACTAAAAAAACATTTTTGTTTCCTATTATTCTGAAATAATTACATTTGTTTTAAAGCTACTGTTTTTTCTTTTGTGCTCTGACTAGAGCACGTGACCCCTTTAAGCCCTGTTCCCAGTATTTAAGATATGAAGTAGTTGCACTGCTTCCTTAAAACAAAAAGGGAGTAGTTAGTTTTTAATTCCTATTCATATCTACAAGATGAAAAGAGTAATTAAACTTGTGCATGGATTTAATATTTTTGTTCAGGAGCTAAACTTCACCAGTGTTTTGAGTTGAGTCGCATGAGTTCTGATATTCTGTTTCTTGCTTTTCTGGTAGTTATACCAGAACTTGTGATGGTTTTAAAACTATGACACCATTAAGATCGATAAATGCCACCACTGTGTCTAACTGCGATATATATTATTCAATGTTGGAACAGTGTTCAGGTGAAATATTCTAAGAATCTGTGGTGTAGAAGGGGGCAGAGGTTGTATTTACAAAGGTTTTTTCATCAACAAGCCCAATTTTTATGAGATTGCTTTAGATAGTTATTTTAACACATCAAAAATTTGAGTGAAAATTCCAGTCCTAACTGTTCAGTGGAAATTTACTCTTCATAGGAGAGAGACAGAGCTGCTCGGATAATTCAGAAATCTGCAATGAACTTCTTGTCTCGTCGACGCATCCTGAAGAAAGTGAATGCAGCAGTTTTCATCCAGAAGTACTGGAGAAGATACTTAGCCAGGATGGTTTTCTTAAATCTGAAAAAGACAAAACTGGAGGAAGCCAAAAATAAATCTGCCACAGCCATTCAGGTAATATGACCTAAAGTAAGATTACAGAGCAAGGAAAGCCTCTGAAACGTGTAAGAAAAAGGCTTGCTCAATGTCATTTGTTCTGCTTGCAGCAGCTGATGTCTTTATGAAAATATAACATTTATTTCCTCTCCCCCCACCTTTGAGATGTTTTTTCAACTTTCTCTTTTTCAGAGAGAAATGGGAATGTGCTATTAAATCAACAATTAGTGAATATTTTGATAAACATTAAAACACTGAGCCTTAAACCAGTCAATGTAAGGACTGATCAAATTGTGTTGAGCAATTGATTGTGTTCAGCTGCTGAACATTACTAAAGAAGCTTTTAAAAAATACCAAAACAATTACTCTCCTAGTGTTATAATTCCTGTGGTGGGCACATTTAGAATGGCAGACATTAGTTACCAAGTGGTTGGGCAGTTAATTCAGTTTCTCATGATACTTTCCCCAAATTTACCCAAAGCTAAATATTACATTCTTAAGACTTTTTTTGCAATGGAGATTAAAGAATCACTGATTTATCAAATAGTTTAAAGTCTTTTGTTGCCAGGGCAAATTTAGCTTTTTCCCAGAATTTAAAATGCTGAAAAAAGCAATGATTCAAGCATTTAGCTTTTGGTGGTGTGTTTTTTTTTTTTGTTTTTTTTTTTTAATGTAGATATCTGAGCTTGTCTGCCTAGGGATTTAAGTAGGAATAAAGAAATTTTTAAAAGTCTGAGGTCCTGAGTTCTCAAATTTAGACCTAACTGGAGATACCATGACAAAAATACTAAATTTTTTGCTTTTTCCTGCAGGCTTATTGGAGGAGATACTCTGCTAGGAAAAGATATTTACAACTAAGATACTATGTTATCTTTGTACAAGCAAGGATAAGGATGGTGAAGACTGTTGCTGCATATAAACGAATCATTTGGGCTACTGTTACAATTCAGAGACATCTGCGTGCATCTAAGTTGGCAAAAAAAGATCGGCAAAGATATGAAACCTTAAAGTCTTCAGCACTTACTATTCAGTCTGCATTCAGAAGATGGCAAAAATACAAAATTCAGCAGAAAATTAATGCAACATTAGTGCTTCAGGCTTATTTCCGAAAATGGCAATCTTCCAAACTGGCTAAAAGAAAGAGGGCTGCCCTTATCATACAGTCTTGGTATAGGATGCACAGAGATCTGAAGCAGTATCTGCGTATTAAGCAAAGTGTTATCAAGATTCAAGCTTGGTACAGGTGTCAGGTGGCTAGACGTATTTACCAGGATCACAGGGTAAAAATAGTGACAATTCAGCAGTATTACAGAGCTTATAAACTAGGAAAAATGGAAAGAGAGTACTATTTGCAAAAGCGTGCAGCAGTGATAGTTCTCCAAGCTGCTTTTAGAGGCATGAAGGCACGTAAGATATACAGACAAACAAAAGCAGCTTGTGTTGTTCAATCACTCTGGAGAATGAAGAAAGAGAAACAAAGATTTCTACAATTAAAAAAATCTGTTACTACATTGCAATCACATGTGAGAAAATACCAACAAGTGAAAAGATACAAAGAGATGAAAAATGCTGCTTCTGTAATTCAGACTTGGTATAGGGCACACATGGCTTCTAAAAAAGCAGCTGCTTCTTTCCAGAGGATGCGTCTGGCTGCTGTTGCTCTACAGTCTGCCTACAGAGGAATGAAAGCTAGGAAAGAGGCTCGCATTTTGAGATCCGTGATAAAAATTCAGTCGAGTTACCGTGCTTACGTTATCCGGAAGAGATTTAAAAACTTGAAAGATGCAACAGTGAAGATTCAAGCTTTTGTAAAGATGAGGCAAGCACGTAAGCATTATTGTGCATTAAGGGAGGCAACACTTTATGTCCAGCGAAGGTATCGGTCTCACAGATACGCTCTTCAACTTAAGGAAGGTTATAGGAAATTGAAGGAAGCTTGCGTAAGAATTCAAGCTGTAGTTCGAGGCTATCTTGTCAGGAAACAAATACAAAGGTGGAGGGAGACTGCAATATTTCTCCAGGCATGCTACAGAATGAGAAGGGAGAGGCAATGTTATTTAAGCATCTATAATGCTGTTGTTGTCATTCAAAAACATTATCGTGCATTCAAAAAGCAACGGTGTCAGAGGCAGAAGTTCTTACAAGTTAAAAAAGCAGCTGTGTGCTTACAGGCAGCCTACAGAGGTTATAAAGAACGTAAAAAGCTTAAACTTGAATATAGAGCTGCTGTTAGAATTCAGACTGCTTTTAGAGCTCATGCTGCAAGAGTGAAATATAAGGCAATGGTTCAGGCCTCCATTGTGATTCAGAGGTGGTACAGAACTTCTAAGACTGGTAACAGGCAAAGACTGAACTTCTTAACGACAAGAGCAGCAGTGCTTTCTTTACAAGCAGCTTTTCGTGGCTGGAAGGTACGAAAGCAGATTCAAAGACAATGTGTTGCTGCTACTAAGATACAGTCTGCCTTCAGAAACTTCAGGCTTAGGAACCATGCTGCACTAACTATCCAAAAGCATTACAGAGCCAGTGTCATAGGCCGGAAACAACGGCAAGAATATGTTCAGCTGCGTAACTCTGTAGTGCGTGTTCAGGCAATATGGAGGGGGAAAACTGTGAGAAAAACCATTCAAAAGAAACATAAACTTGCAACCATTATTCAGTCCTATTACAGAATGCACGTAAATCAACTAAAATACAAGAAACTAAGACAAGCCACTCTAGTGATTCAGAAATACTTCAGGGCTTACTGTATGAAAAAAAATCAACGTGCAATTTATCTAAAAGTAAAGACAGCTGTGTTAGTCTTGCAGTCTGCTTACCGTGGGATGACTGTGAGGAAACGATTGAGCAAACTACACAAAGCTGCTACAACTATACAAGCCGCCTTCAAATCTTACCTGACCAAAAAGAACTATAAAAGACTTAAAGCTGCAGCTATAGTAGTTCAAAGGCGTTATTGTGCAATTATTCATGCCAAGCGTCAAAAGCAGAAATATTTGTCTTTAAAAAAAACCACAGTAACAATGCAAGCAATTTATAGAGGTGTCAGAGTTAGACGACAAATTCACCGTATGCATCAAGCAGCTATTTGTATCCAAGCCACGTTCAAGATGCATTGCATGAACGCAAAATATCGGGCAATGAGAAGGGCAGCAATTATAATTCAAAGACAATATAGAGCATTTTGTTTAGGCAAAGTACAACGTAGAAAGTACTTGGAGCTAAAGAAGTCTGCCATTATCCTTCAGGCTGCCTGTAGAGGCATGAAGGTACGACAAGATTTAAAAACTATGCATCAGTCAGCAGCAATAATACAGTCTTATTATCGAATGCACAAACAACAGAGGGATTTCAGGAAGTTGTTGCTGGCAACTAGGCAGATTCAGCAGTGGTTCCGTGCTTGTAAGGCACGAGATACACAAGTTCACCACTATATGATCATGAAAAGTTCTGCACTTTGTATCCAGGCTGCATTCCGTGGTATGAAAACAAGAAGGCTTCTAAGAAATAGGAGAGAATCAGCTGAACTTATTCAAAGAAGATTTAGGACTTTTCTCAAAAGAAAACATTTTCTTGCCATGAGGACAGCTGCTATTGTTATTCAGAGAAAATACAGAGCAACAAAACTAGCAAAAATTCAGCGTCAAAAATATCTCTCTCTCCTTAATGCTGCTGTTATCATACAGTCTGCTTTTAGAGGCTTTGTGCTAAGAAAAAAAATCCAGCGGATGCATCAAGCTGCTACAGTCATTCAAGCAACGATAAGAATGCATAAAATTTATGTTTCTTATCAAGCGGTCAGGCTTGCTTCAGTAATCATACAGCAACGTTATCGTGCTTACAGGGAAGGGAAGCGTGTGAGAGAAATATACTTAAAACTGTACAATTCTGTTTTAGTTCTTCAGGCCGCCTATAGAGGAATGAAAACAAGATGCTTCTTGAAGAAAAGATGTGAGGCAGCACTTATAATACAGAGAAACTACCGAATGTATAGGGAGTACCACCGTTACAGAAAAGTTCGGTGGGCAGCCCAGGTAATACAGAGGAGATACAGGGCCAATAACCTAAAGAAAATCGCAGTGCAGCATTACTCTTCGTTAAAGAAAGCAGCAGCTCGTATTCAGAAGGCTTTTCGAGACATGCGGGCAAGGAAGCAACATCAAGCCATGCACCGTGCTGCTGTTGTTGTTCAGAAAAATTTTAAAGCTTTTAGAGAACGTCAAAGATATCTCTCTCTCAGAGCGGCTACTCTTGTCTTTCAGAGAAGATACAGAGCTTTGATCCTGTCAAGACAGCACACTTTGGAGTATCTTTCTCTTCGCAGAGCAACTATTCGTATACAGGCTGTGTACAGAGGTCTCAGAGTTCGGAAGAGTATTGAGCGCATGCATTTAGCTGCTCGTACGATACAGTCAGCCTACAAAATGCACAGGAATAGAAGGTCCTATCAAAATATGAGAATTGCAGCTGTTGTCATACAGAACTACTATCGATCCTACATTAAAGGAAAGAATCAACGAAACCAATATCTGACAATGAAGAATTCTGCTCTTGTTATTCAAGCGTCATACAGAGGCATGAAGGAACGACAGAAGCTGAAAACCATGCGTGTTTCAGCAATTGTAATACAGTCTAGTTATCGCATGTACGTACAACGTACATATTACAAACAGCTGTGCTGGGCTGTCAGAGTTATACAACAAAGATTCAGAGCCAAAAAGGCAAAAGAAGCTGACATGGAAAACTATACCAAAATAAAAAAGGCTGTCATTTGCCTTCAGTCCTCTTTTCGTGCTAAAAAGGCTAGGCAGTTGTACAAAACCAATGTTGCTGCACGGTGCATACAGTCCTTCTTAAAAATGCGCGTAGAGAGGAGGCGTTTTCTCGAAAAGAAAGCAGCAGCAATAATGATCCAGTCTATGTTCCGATGCCAAAGAGCAAGGAGTCGCTATAAATTGATTCAGAGTTCAGCAGTTGCTATTCAGAGGTGGTACAGAGCATGGCACAAGGTTCGTTTACAGAAAGCAGAGTATTCTGCTCAAAGAAAAGCGATAGTAATTATTCAGTCTGCCTTCCGTGGTATGAAAGCAAGAAAAATAGCAAGACAAATACGAGCTGCAAGAAGAATTCAGTCCTGTCTTAAGATGGCTGTGCAGCGTAGAAAATTTATTCAACTTAGAACAGCAGCTATTACATTACAAGCCTATTACTTAATGCATAAAACTAAATCACAGTATACAAACTATAAAAAAGCAGCAGTTATCTTACAACGATGCTACCGATCCCGCTTGGCTATGAAATACCAAAGAACAATTTACTTACAAACCCGGAGGAACATTATCATTGTGCAGGCTAGAGTCAGAGGATTCATTGAAAAGAAGAGGTTTCGCAAAATTAAAGCGAGCGCAATAAAAATTCAGGTAATTTTGAATGTGTAGTAGTAGTGGGGTGTGAGGGTTTTGTCTTTTGTGGGCTTTTTAAGATTGCTGCTCTTGCAAACAAGAGTTTAAAACTATATGCTAAAGTAGAATCAATTTCTGAAGTGTGCTACAAGGCAGATGTATGAAGCTCACTACCACAGTGCACAGAAGTGAGTCTCGGTTCAGCTGTTTTGTCTTTCCTTGCTGAGGTACTCATCTTAAAAAGTAACATTCTTCTTGTTTCTCCCCTAGAATTTTACTACCTCAAGTGGGTTCTGATACTTGTGTGTGTTTCTGTGGTTCTTTTAAGAAGATTTTTGTCCTAACTGGCTTTTACCTATCTGAATATTAGTAGCTTAATGTTTTCTTTGATTGGGATCTGAACAAAAGCTCTCTTGATGTGTTGAAACCAGTGTGGGCACTGGTATTGGGTAAAAAGTGAAGTAAATGGCAAAAAAGGCATGACTGCTGCATTCTTGAAGACTCATATTTAGGAAGGTGGGAGTAAATCAGTCATGTTTTAGTTCTGTTAGCTGGCCCTAGACTAATTTGAATGCCTAGCTAACATTTTGAAGAGGAACGTAGGGACAGAAATTGTATTCTTGCTGTATGTTTCAGTTGGTACCTTGAGTGGCGCCGCATGAAACTTGGTGTGAAACTGTATCTGTAGTTTCTCAGAGGTACTCTAGGAAGTGGGAAGTATTTAGTTTGAGGTTTTTTTCCTTCCATCATTGATGCAATAAGAGTGTGGTCAGCAAGAAGTGATGAGAATTGTTCTTCGTCTCCGTGTAGCAATCACACTATCCAGTGTGAGTTCAAAGAGGCTTAAATGACTAGTTACTCTGAAGTGGTTTTTTCAAAAAAAGGTTTTTTTTTGAGGATGAGGGAGGAAGGTATATTTACTTCTTTATATTAATTATGATTTGTATGTAGTGGGAGTACACTATTTTTTTCCCCTTTTCTTCTGGGAAAAGCTTTAAGTGTCTTTCTGTGGTAGCCTTACTTATTTTACCCTAAGGGAAGGGGTTCCTTTCTCTTCCGGGTATTATCAGAATGAATGGATTTTTTTCCCCCAAATTAGGGAAGAAAGGGAAATAAATAATCTCTCATAATAATATTTGAGGTTGCTATTACTGTCTTGTTGGAGAGCCCATGCTCTACTTAACAGCGAAGAAAACAGTTGTGCCTTCCTCATCTCCGTGTTTCGGGGGGGGG